CTATTGAACGAGGCTTTAATTTGAATTTATTTAGGAATTGGGTCATTTTAGAGGTGAATAAATTAAATTCTATTAGTTATATTTTTTATTTAATTCTTTTTTTTTGAGCTGTAGAAAACTATAATGTTATTTTATATACTTATTTTTTTAAATGTTTTATTTTTTTTACAATTGATAATGCATTTTGTTTGTTGCAGTTATTTCATATTTGTCTGTGGTGTCATTATTTGATAAAATCTTAAAATGTTCTAAAAAGTTGGTTAAATAAATTCGCGGTTTTTCGAATAACAGCTTTACGACGATTTTTGTGTAACAGCTAATCTTGTAAACAAAGTCATTAGTGCTATTTCTAATCAAAAATTAACACTGCGGTAACTTCGAAGCGTAGGTTTTAACCTTTTCTCAACGAGTTACACGATATAGGTCTAACAGTGACTGCGTTACGTTCCAAGATGTAAATATACTGGGTAAAACAAAAATCTTCAGGAAAGTAACATTGTGAAAGTTAAAGCACAGTTTCTGGACTATTTTTATTCCACTAATGTATCTTAAAGATGTATCTTTCTCAACAAATCTATAAGTCATTTGTCAGTCGCTAAAAAAAATCCTTTGACACTCAGTCATATACTTATACATAGAAATATCCGCTTCTGGTCATCTTTTTAAGATTAATAGTTCATCTCCGTCATGAGATATAATATTTATTTGACTATGTAAATATCCCTCTTCAACAAAACATAAATAGTAGATTTGTTTTAAAATCATTATTGTGAGATTGGAGAAACTATTATTGTTGTACAAATAAAGACAAATATTTGAAATTTTGTCAATTTTGCTCCCTTGTGTCAGAATCCATTTTATCTTGCCATTATAGCAAATCAGTTTCAAGACGTTCATAGCTCACAACAATGACATGACATAACTGATCAGTGCGCTTCGTTTAATCTTCAGATTACAGGCTTGTTTATTTACCTTTCATTACCGGTGAGGATCACATATTACATCGTATTGAGTTGTTTTTTTTCTTAATGTATGTTTCATTCAACACTTAGTATAAACAAAATGACTGAAGTCAACAAGTTTCTTTGTAGAATGCGTAAGAAATCGCATCAATAATTAAAGAGATCAATAATAACATTGACAACGTCTAAATTTTTATATCTGACTTGTATGTTATTAGTGGTCTGTAACCTAAAAAAGTTATGGACTCGCCATCAGTTTGAATAATTCAGAAAAAAATGTATTTACAAATCCACAGGGGGTCTGTATAAACTTCTGAGGCAGTTCTAAGGTTAATAGTGCTATATCCAATTTATTCAATTATATGATTATTTCAGGAAAACAGAAATTATAGGTCAAAGTTTTTCGTTTATATATATGTGTATATGTGTGTGTGTGTGTGTGTGTGTGCATAAGTATATCATTGATTTACAAGATACATAAAAAACGGATTTCTTTATCCTTGTATGAGTTCGTCTCGAATGGTATGATTCAATGTTTGCAATAAATTTCTGAAAATGTGTTTATTCTTCCAACTAAAATTCTAATGAGGTTTTAAAAACTCACGTAATACACACGTGCGAGTGTATTGGTATAATGTTAACTTGCTGGCCTAGCTCTAAACGCCATTTTTAACTTGAATACACATTCATCACTGTATTGGTATAATGTTAACTTACTGGCCTAGCTCGACACGCCATTTTTAACTTGAATACACATTCATCACTGTATTGGTATAATGTTAACTTGCTGGCCTAGCTCTAAACGCCATTTTTAACTTGAATACACATTCTTCATTGTACTGATATAATGTTAACTTACTGGCCTAGTTCGACACGCCATTTTTTAACTTGAATACACATTCGTCACTGTATTGGTGTAATGTTAACTTACTGGCCTAGCTCGACACGCATGTTTAGCTTGAATACACATTCATCACTGTATTGGTATAATGTTAACTTACTGGCCTAGCTCGACACGCCATTTTTAACTTGAATACACATTAATCACTGTGTTGGTATAATGTTAACTCACTGGCCTAGCTCGACACGCCATTTTTAACTTGAATACACATTAATCACTGTGTTGGTATAATGTTAACTTACTGGCCTAGCTCGACACACATTTTTAACTTGAATACACATTCATCGCTGTATTGGTATAATGTTAACTTACTGGCCTAGCTCGACACGCCATTTTTAACTTGAATACACATTCATCACTGTATTGGTATAATGTTAACTTACTGACCTAGCTCGACACACCATTTTTAACTTGAATACACATTCATCACTGTATTGGTATAATGTTAACTTACTGGCCTGCGTAAGTACGAAATTTGTTGGTCTTTAGGAAGAAAAATAATGTTACATAATAACATTATTAATTTTCCAGAAAAATAAATACAAATAATTAAAAGTCGCTTAAAATCCAGAAGTGAGTAAAATAACGTATTGTCTAACATAGAACAGAAACATAAGGCACCACTAGTTACCATAGAACAAAAACATAAGGCACCACTAGGTAACGTAAAACAGAAACATAAGGCACCACTAGTTACCATAGAACAAAAACATAAGGCACCACTAGGTAACATAAAACAGAAACATAAGGCACCACTAGGTAACATAGAAAAGAAACATAAGGCACCACTAGGTAACGTAAAACAGAAACATAAGGCACCACTAGTTACCATAGAACAAAAACATAAGGCACCACTAGTTACCATAGAACAAAAACATAAGGCACCACTAGGTAACATAAAACAGAAACATAAGGCACCGCTAGGTAACATAGAACAGAAACGTAAAGCATCGCTAGGTAACATAGAACAGAAACATGAGATACGACTAGGTAACATAGAACAGAAACGTGAAGCAACGCTAGATAACATAGAACAGAAACGTAAAGCAACGCTATGTAACATAGAACAGAAACGTAAAGCAACGCTATGTAACATAAAACAGAAACGTTAGGCAACGCTAGGTAACATAGAAGCTTTATTTTAGAGGGGGAAATTCTATCTATTTTTTTCTACATAATGATCAGTAGTGCCGAAATGACTACCAAATTTGGAGGGGAGGAGCCGGATAAACAAAAATTTGTGAAGACTTGCGAGTCAGACACGCTAACTATTACCCCAGTAAAGATCTGAACTAATTCTCACATGTCCATCGAATTATGACATACTGTCTGAGTCACACACACACAAATACTGTGATATTAAAAGCTCTACTACTGATAAATGTTGTGTGATGTATTTCCACAAATTTTCTCCAAAATACAATTATAACTGAAATGTTGAGATATAACATATTACATTGAAAAAATTTTATTACCATTTTTTTTTTTTTGGATGAGGTGATTTGTTGGAATTTTTATTGAGATTATGAAAATATATAGATTTCCCTTCCGCGCAAAGACAATTTCTCAATGAATGATAGAACAATCTTCAAGTATACTTCGTTAAAAGTTTAGTTAAAACATTTATCTTCTTGCTGTTAAAATTAGGAGCAATGGCCCATTGGCCCCACGTTTCTGGCACGAATGACAGTAATCAAACATTTTCTATCTATTCCGTGTATTTTAATTAAATGGTTTTTGTTTGACATTACTGAAGTATTATAGAAAAATATTCAAGGATTAGATAGGCTTACTGTTAGTTGTTATTTCTGTTTACGCGTGTCGAATCAATTAGTGAGCTTTCATAAGCTGGAATCATTTATTGCAATTCATTTCAAAAAGAATCAGGCATTTTGAGTGAATGGCATTAATTTCGAATGGGTTGGATCAGGTAGAATACAATAAGAAGTTTAAAATAACAACTACTTCAACAAGCAAATAAAACGTTCCCGATGGCTCAGCCGTAAGTCTGAGGGCTTATAACGTTAAAAATCGAGTTTCGATACTCGCGCTGTGTAGAGCACAGGTAGCCCATTCTGTATATTTATGTTGCACAACATATAAAACAAAACTGAATATGAAACTGAGATTAAATTCAAATTTAATAGATAAACAAACGCCATAATCTGCTCTCAGGTTAAGTAGGTAGGCTTGAAAATAAGAAGAGTGCCTCTTAGTATGCAGTAATTTTAAGCACTTTTAATAATATGAATTTTCTAGAAATAATTAAATTATTGTATTTTAATTTACTATTGAAATATTCGAGGATTTTATGTAACATCTAAAATACCTGAACACCAGACATTTACTTAGGGAAAGTTGTCGGCAGATGGCACTACCATTGTCCATAACTACAGTGCTTACTACAGTCACCTAGGAAATAACTTATAAGTTGTTAATGTCTTGTCACTTGGTCATCATAACAAACAGATTAATATTGGTATTTATTTTGAGCACTCCAATCTGAGATTTTCGTAACTGAAAAGCAATTGAACAAAAATATTTCATATATCTTATTTTACCGTATTTTATTTAGTTGGATAATTAATCTAGATGATAACTAAACATAGATAGTAAATCAGTGACTAAGTTACTTCATTCCTAAGTTGTATTCAATGTGCGTATCTGTGAGATAACAATATTCCACTGATTCGCTAATTAATCAATTCTATCCTTGTTTTAAACAGTGTATTTGTTTTGTTTTTTTAACTATCTGCACTGTTTTGCTGGAGCTCAAACCCCAAACTTAAGTGTTATAAGACCTGAAGCTTACCGCTAAACCGTCTTCGATTACCACAGCCAAACTACTAACGTTATTTATATGCATCCGCGGTAAATGCAAGCAAGAAAAACAGACATTATTCAAAAATTTGTATTTTTTTTACTATAATGATTGCTTGTATGACAGTATTGAAAGAATTAAAAGTCATGCCTAGCCTTTTCAGAAGTAATACCGTAAAGATTGGAAGGCGGAACGAAAAGGCCTCATGCGCAACTGCTATTCCCGCACGCGCGGAGTAACACGAACATAATAAGCTGTGTGCCGGCTCTCCTTTTATCGTGCTATGTTGTGGGTCGTGCGGTATTTAGTTCCAGCTCTTAGCAGGTGGAGGTTCAGTTAATTTCAGTAAAACGAAGTTGCTGGACACTGTTTCGTTGTAGTTTTAAATTGTTTTTACGCATTTTAAACTTGGTTTAAGCGAACAACTTCTGTACAAAGTTACACAAAGCTCAAGAATTTTACAGCAACTAGTAAAAAAAAAGAAAAAAAACCACGAAGTCTCAAGGTTATTTTAATCTTCAAAAATCTCAGAATTTTCTGTATCAGAAGAACATTGTAAGAACGGACTAAAGAAAGAACTATTTAATTCATAACTCGCCTCTTTTTTATCAGCAATTTCAGTAATTATTTTCCCATTTTTGCTTCACCACGTGAAAGCGTGTAATTCAGTCACCCTGCAGCCGTTACAAGGAATCAACACCGTTACCGGGAAGCTGTGGTCACTCCAGGGTGAGTAAAATACCTTAATAGTAGCCACTCGTAATGTATGCTTCTAAATAAATGCAATTAGATGACATATTTGAAGTGGTGCCTTGGTAATATCACTCTATATCAATTTTTAGTCGAGAGACCAGTTTAGAAAGTTGTCTGGATCAGATTACTTCTTTGTATTTTTCTATCAAATCCGCACTTTTTCAAGTATTTATTTTTTACCAATATCTATACATTTGTGTGCGTGTGTGTGTGTGTTGTAAATGTCCATTTTATTTACTATGTAGGAAACATGCCCGATCTGAATCAATTAAGGAATCGCCAGTAAAGGTGTTTTATCTATCGAACGTATCTAATAACAATTACCATGTTATTTTCAGACAGTAACTTCTTATTTTTAAGAGACGAGACCTATGTCGTTTCAACGATTACGATGCTATATTCAATGTATATCAAGCCCTTAATCAGGTTACTTCTTAGCTAGCTCATTAGTTTGGTCTACGAACATTGGTACAAGATTCACTGCCCCTTTAATTTCCCCTTACCTGTACTACATCACTGCTTTACACTTGTGTATGTCGCATAGTATTGTGTCAACGTACATGTCAGTGATGATGGCTGGGTTGACCGTTTAGAAACATATTTCAAGTCGACAAAAACAATAAGATTGGGAAGAATTACACTAACAACATAACACAAACTGCTCTACAAGACTTTGCCCCAGTGGTTACGGTAAGTCTGAGGGCTTATAATGGTCAAAATCTGATTTCGATACCTGTTGTTGTTTGTTTTTATTAAAAAAAAATTCAAGCCATGTAAGCACGTGACATAATATTCTACCAAACATAGATGTGGACCACTAAATTCAAAAATAATGAAAAAAGACTTTAGAGACAAACAAACATGTAACGTAACGTTCCACTAAACATAATATTTTGACTACTAAATTTCAAAACTCTGGCCTGGAACCAATCAAACAATTAACTGTAACATATCTTTGAAATTATAATTATTGGATGACTATTTTAACCGTTCAGCTAAATTTTACAATATTTAGTAGTTAATGAAAGTATTTGTAAAGTTAAGTTAAACAGCATGAAACGTCTGTTTAAAGCAATTTGCTGTTGTCGAGAGCCATAATAAGATCGTAAGACAGGCCTCGAATACGAACGATCACAGTAGGATGCTATCCAAAATTGGCGTCATATCTCGTTATTGGTGTTTTGACAATGTGTCTATATACTATATAAATTAAACTGTAAACCTATATTCATTGCGTTTAATGTAGCTGCTTTGATCTCAATGTTTGTCCAGCTTTTAAGATACGAACACGTCATAAGTGGTGTGTGTGTGTGTGTCGAATGAAGTGTTTGTTTTTCTATGTAAAAAGATTACGTTACACATCTACTTTAACTATAGATTTAGCAAACCTTTATAAATATATATTTTTATTTCTTGGCAATATTTAGACGATGCTTATTATCTAAGCATAAAAAAAAATAGTTCTGTTAAGTGTTGTTTTTTTTAATTTTCAATCTGAAATTTGAAAACAGAAAACTAAGGTTTACAGATGTCATTGTTCACATAACAAGGTTTACAGATGTCATTGTTCACATAACTTATATTTTTAGTTTAGCCATAATTCGCCATCTACTAAGTAACGTAGAAACGAATTATACCTGGACATGCATAATGGAAGTCTTTCTGGGTTCTTGAATGTAGTATTCTCTTAGGCCTTAATATTCGTGATTTCGGAACAAGTAACAGTGGTTCTGTTTACATAGCGCTTCCGTCAGTTTATTCGTTTTATAAACCCAGCCACATTTTAAAGTAATTCTAATAAGGAAAGCTTAAGTAATTATTTATCTTAGAATTTTTAATCTCCTCGAATCAATTGCACATCGCAAAGGTCACCAGAAACGTTTAACTGCTAATCACCAAGCAACTTTAGTAAAATAAAAAGAAAAATGCCGATAAGGATGTCAATAAGCACAAACAGTTGTATGAGTGTTCTAATACTTTAAGTTTGCTTTGCTGCTATTAAGGCAAGTGCTTTTTCTGCCAATGTGTAGAAACGTTTAATAATGTAAAGGGACGTAGGAAAAATGTATAAATGGGAATGCTACTCTTGGGAGAGAAAAGGAAATCAATAGCGAAGCCATACTGGAGAGGGGGGGGCTAGGGGCATGTCCCCTCGAAACAATGTAATACTTTTCCCCGAAAATTGTAAATTTTGTTTTATCTTAGGCTCTTTTTACACCTTTTAAATAAATTTTATACATATATATGCGTACAATTTAGCGGATCCGACAGCATCCGCCGCACTCCGCTCCTTTCCTACACGCCTGATGTAATAAATTTCAACGAAATTAGCCTCCCCCCCAATGGCACAATGATATTTCTGCGAACTTACAACGCTAAAAATCGGGTTTCGATACCCTTGGTGGGCAGAGCATAGATAACCCATTGTGTAGCTTTGTGCTTAACTACAAACAAACAAGTCACTCATGTCCCCCAATAGCACAGCGGTATGTCTGCGGACTTACAACGCAAGAAACCGGGTTTCGATACCCGTGGTGGGCAGAGAATAGATAGCCCATTGTGTAGCTTTGTGCTTAACTACAAACAGTCAACGGAACTAAAATAGCTGTTTAATGGAAAATTATTCATTTTTTAATCTTACTCCAAATACCTAAAAATCTCCAGTTTACGTAATTACTCAAACTTCATTATCAATAACTTCTGGTAAAAAGCAACAGAACTGAAAAATATCTCAGTGAGTAATGTACCTAATTTAACTTATCAGCCAAATTAAGAATATGTAATGCAAAAAAAATGTTATAGCCATATAGTGTAAGGCTATTGAATCGTTAAATTTTGATTACGTGGCAGTGAAAAATGTAGATTTACGGATATTCCTCCAAACATAATACCGTGTAAAGTGCGACCAGGTGAATCTTATTTTACTTCGTACGTATATATATGTATATATAACGATAACAGCTTGAAGTTCTGGCTACCAGAAACGTATAATGACCTATTTGATGGCCTAAAAGCTCCAACGATACAGAAGAGTAAAAGGTATGTAATGAACATTCCCAAAATAGTGCTAAAAATGAATAGAAAACGTTATTCGCAAATTAGCATTTACACATCCCATATATAGAATTGGTATATTATTACCTTTGCCAAACACCGTAGTTTACATTATATGCTTAAGTAATTTTAGTCTCGTTAGCTTTACGTAATGTATATATATATGAGTGTGTCTTCACCTAGATAATAACATCCCAATATGTTACTTCCTACTGTGTGAAAATGTTGCATCTTGTCGCACATAGTTTACGGAATTGCTATCTGTGTATGTGTCTTCACCTAGATAATAACATCCTAATATGTTACTTTCTACTGTGTGAAAATGTTGCATCTTGTCGCAAGTAGTTTAAGGAATTGCTATATGTGTATGCATCTTCACCTAGATAATAACATCCTAATATTTTACTTTCTACTGTGTGAAAATGTTGCATCTTGTCGCAAGTAGTTTAAGGAATTGCTATATGTGTATGCATCTTCACCTAGGTAATAACATCTTAATATTTTACTTTCTACTGTGTGAAAATGTTGCATCTTGTCGCAATAGTTTAAGGAATTGCTATCTGTGTATGTGTCTTCACCTAGATAATAACATCCTAATATTTTACTTTCTACTGTGTGAAAATGTTGCATCTTGTCGCAAGTAGTTTAAGGAATTGCTATATGTGTATGTGTCTTCACCTAGGTAATAACATCCTGATATGTTACTTTCTACTGTGTGAAAATGTTGAGTTTGACACACGTCATATGATGATGATTTTAATGATTTAATGATTTTATATATTTATTTAATTATAGAAAACTTATTACAATAAATACACATGTGATCAATACAAAATACACACTAGTGCTTCACATTTTTCTAGTAAATATTTTATGAACAGAAATATAACAATATACCCATAGCTCACAGTTCTTAATTATTGCGTACTGCGTGATAAATAGGTAGACAGACTAACTGAAAACAATGTTAATTGTTTGTTTGAATTTTTTTATAACATTTGTATTTTGCGAAAAATCCAAAATAATGAGCTTAGAAAGTGATGCGGCATCTTGTCATAACTATTTTAGAAGTAATACAGGATGTACAGTCTTGACCTCTTTCTAGTCTGGAACTTATCTGGTAGTAAACATCATAGGTGGCGCACTTTGCAACAAGATGTACAGTCTTGACCTCTTTCTAGTCTGGAACTTATCTGGTAGTAAACATCATAGGTGGCGCACTTTGCAACAGGATGTACAGTCTTGACCTCTTACTAATCTGGAAGTTATCTGGTAGTAAACATCATAGGTGGCGCACTTTGCAACAGGATGTACAGTCGTGACCTCTTAATAGTCTGGAAGTTATCCAGTTGTAAATATTAAGTGTGGAATTCTGTGCAATAGATGTATAATTTTGACCTCTTACTAATTTGGAAGTTATCGGGTAGTGAAAACAACACAGGCCATGTGTTTTATAACGGTTTAGATTTATCGCCTGACTATTGAATTAGGTTTTCACACAGTGTATGAAAGTTTTGTTTTCACTGCACAACTCTGAAGTTTCTAATGGCTTTGTTTTTCAAACCTGCAATATCAAGTGACGTCATCCAAGTATGGGAATAATATACTGACTCTTGTTTATGTTTAATATTTTTAAAAAAGTTTAATAATACTTCAAAATCGTGCTTTTACGCAGTTAATCAAATTGGAATATATTAGGGTTTGTTTACAATTATCAATATTGTCACAAGCGGTATAAGCCATATGCTTGGGTCAGGGGTAACGAATCACACCCACAGCAAAAGACTAACAGTCAAATTTATATCGCCTTTGATTGTGTGACCTTAGTTCTAGCTGTTGTCGTACCAGATTTTTACCAGCAACCAACAATGCAAGATGGCTGCAAAGATCTGGGCTAGTTTTTTTAACGGTTTTACTGTATA